CTGACATGTAAAATCTAATTCATGAAAGAACATTTTGGAACATACAATATACCTTGTACTGATATTATTCAGTCCATGTCTGCCAATCAAACTGAAGAATGTAAAAATCAATAGCATAAAATTCAAGAAACTGTTCAATAAACATCCATTTAGATTCCCTAAGGAAAACAGAATAAAAGCCCTGAACTGCAAAACACATAGGTGTAAAATGTGTGCAGACTTGTATGAAAAAAGTACAAGCATTGTCACTGAGATGCAAGTGGGGAGAGGGCCCTATGTTTTTATTTCCAAAGCAAGGGTTTGTTAGATTGGCTTGAAATAATTTAGAATTTAATTACCAAAAGTGTTATAGTTAGCAATTAGTTATCAGTATTGATTCAGTTATCATTGTTCATTTTGTCATTATTTACAACCCAGTTTAAATTTAACATTAAAAAACGTAGTACGTTCTGCTTCCCTACACTGCTGATCCCTCTCCCTCGTTCTTTGGTCTTAAAAATTTGGCCTTGCTAATAAAGTCATCCGTAGAACTACAAAGATGTTGGTAAACAAAAGTTTCGTGCTAAAGAAATTTGTTCTCTACTGCTTTGACCTGATCACAGAATTAGATAAATACCTCCTGCATTTTAAACCTACCTCAGAGACTTTGTCTATACGAGGCAAGTAGGTGGGAGGGTAGCATTGTATATTAATGATGAGGTAGACTGTAAAGAAATTAGAAGTGATGGAATGGATAAGAGAGTTTGGGCTGAAATCACTTTGGGAAAGAAAGCTACTAGAGGTTCCCCTGATATAGTGCTTGGAGTGTGCTACAAACCACCAGATCCAATCTGGATATGGATAGAGACCTCTTTAATATTTTTAATTAAATATTACTGGGAATTGCGTGATTATGGGAGACTTTAATAATAGTAGGGCCCAGATTTTCCTGGATGTGATAGCTGACAGATTTCTTTACTAAATAGTTGCTGAACCAACAGGTTTCCATTTTAGATTGGTTTTGGTGAGGACCTCATAGAAGAACTGGTTGTAGAGAACAACCTTGGTTCTAGTGATCATCAGCTAATTCAGTTTAAACTAAATGGAAGGATAAACAAAATAGATCTGCAGCAAGGGTCCTTCCTTTCAAAAGAGCTAAACTTTAAAAAATTAAGGGAATTACTTAGGGAAGTGGACTGGACTGAAGAAATCAAGGATCTAATCAAGGAGGCTTGGAATTACTTTAAGTCAAAGTTGCAGAAGCTCTCTGAACCGTGCATTCCCAGGAAGGGGAAAAAAATTATTGGGAAGGGTTGCAGACCAAACTGGGTGAACAAGCATCTCAAACAGGTGACTAAGAGAAAGCAGAAAGCCTGCAAGGAATGGGAGATATCAGCAAGGAAAGGTACCTCATGGAGGTCAGAAAGTGTAAGGATAAAGTTAAAACTGTCAAAATCCAAGCAGAGTTGGACCTTGCAAAGGGAATGAAAACAAATAGTAAAAGGTTCTGTAGCCATATAAATAAAAAGAAAACAAGGAGAGAAGTGGGACCGTTAAGAACTGAGGATGGAGTAGAGATTAAAGATATGGCCCAACAACGAAACAAATACTTTGCCTCAGTTTTTAATGAGGCTAATAAAGAGCTTGGATGTAGTAGTTGGATGGCTAATGGCAACAAGAGGATATGGAGGTAGAAATGACCACATCCAAGGTGGATGTCAAACTCAAACATCTTAATGGAACTAAATCAGGGGAGCTGGATAATCTCCATCCAAGAATATTAAAGGAACTGGCAGATGAAATTCCAAGTCCAATAGCAAGGATTTTTGATGAATCAGTAAACTCGGGGGTTATACCCTATTGACTGGAGAATTGCTAATATAGTTCCTATTTTTAAAGAGAGAAAAAAAGTGATCCAAGAAACTATAAGCCTGTTTGACTTCAATTATATGCACGGTCTCAAATTTTGAAAGAGACAGTAGTTAAGGTGCATGGTAATTGGGATAAAATACAACATGCTTTTACAAAGGGTAAATTGTGCCAAACCAACCTGATCTTCTTTGAGAAGAAACTGATTTTTTAGCAAAGGAAATGTAGTAGATCTAATCTACCAGGATTTCAGTAAGGCATTTGATACAGTTCCACATGGGAAACTATGAGTTAAATTGGAGAAGATGGGGATTAATATGAGAATTGAAAGGTGGCTAAGGAACTGGTTAAAGGGGAGACTACAACAGGTCATACTGAAAGGTAAACTGTCCGGCTGGAGGGAGGTTACTAGTGGAGCTCCTCAGGGAACTTGGGACAGATCTTATTTAACATTTTTATTACTGACCTTGGTACAAAAATTGAAAGTATGCTAACAAAATTTATAGATGACACAAAGTTGGGAGGTATAGCCAATATGGAGGAGAACTGGAATATCATAACATTTAAATTAAGCGCCAATGTGGACACAAAAACAAATGGATATAAACTGGCCATCAATAAGTTTAGACTTGAAATTAGGCAAAGGTTTCTAACCATCAGAGGAGTGGAGTTTTGGACCAGCCTTCCAAGGGGAACAGAGAGGGCAAAACACCTAACTGTCTTCAAGACTGAGGTTGATAAGTTTATGGAGGTGCTGGAATGATGAGACTGCCTACAATGGCACATGGCCCATCAGCAACTGCCAGTAGCAAAAATCCCCAGTGGGTGGAGACGGGACACTGGATGGGGTGGGCTCTGAGTTACCTGGGAAAAAATTCTCTGTAGTATCTGCCTGGTGGGTCTTGCCCCCATTCTCAGGGTCTAACTGATTGCCATATTTGGGGTCAGAAAGGAATTTCCCCTCGGGTCAGATTGGCAGAGACCCAGGGGAGTTTTTCGCCTTCCTTGGCAATATGGGTCATGGGTCACTGGCAGATTTAAACTAGAGTAAATGATTAATTCTCTGTAACTTGACATCTTTAAACAATGATTTGAGGACTTCAGTAACTTAGCCAGAGGTTAGGGGTCTATTTCAGGAGTGGGTGGGTGAAGTTCCATGGGCTGCGATGTGCAGGAGGTCAGACTAGATGATTGTGGTAATCCCTACTGACCTTAAAGTCTGAGTCTATGAGAACCTGGAATGAGTCACCGAGTAGTTGCATTGGGGGTAGCAAAAGTAAAATCCCTACTGTAAATTGGAAAAAGGCATTTATATCACTGTGTTTTCTGTCACTGACTCTGACTAGGATTAGAGCACTTGATGGTTAGAAACACCTGAGTTCTGTGTGCTCTCTGGACTCCACCTCTGCTATCACCACCAGTGGAGGAATACAGGTCCTAATTTTCCTATATGTAGATGCAGCCTTAAAAAGTCCTCTCTGTGGCCTGGGGCAAGTTGCTTAGGCTCAGATTTTTAAATGTGTTGTGGTAGCCATGTTGGTCCCAGGATATATGAGAAACAAGGTGAGCGAGGTTTTTTTATTTGACCAACTTCTGTTGGTGAAAGAGAGATGATTTTGAGCTTTCCTGAAGAAGACCTCTGTGGAGCTCGAAAGCTTGTCTCTCTCAGATATTTAAAGGTATTGCTTTGCTCAGTGTTGCAAGGCCTTAGTGACATAGACAGGTAAGTCCCATTTTCAAAAGTAACTTACGTATTTAGGCACCTAAGTCTCATTGACTTTCAATGAGTCTTAGGTTCGTAGGAGACTAAATTACTTTTGAAATGGCATTAAAGGCATGTCTATATAGAGATTTAGTGTGCAGCAAGCTGGGGTGTAAACCTACAGTGCACCAGTCTGCTGCACACTACAGAACTTCTAGTGCATGGCTGCAGTGTCCACATGACCACTTAGTGCATGGCAGGGTAGAGCATGGTAGATTTACACACCGCTTGCTGCACACTGACTCTCCATATAGCCAAGTCCTTAGCCATCTAAGTCATTTAGACATTGCAATGTTTAGCAGAGTTATACCTAAATATCTTTAAAAATCTATGAAATGGGAACAGTAAGATTTACCAATTTGCCTACCCATTTCAGCGGTATTGTGAGACTCTTTGAAGGTGAAAAGTGCTTAGTATTGTAAACTAACAGCATTTCTCCAATGTATGGTTTAAAGGAGTAAACAAGATTTTTCTCCTGTTTAGTCTATATAGCTCAGCTGCTTCTAATACACACATCAATTTTTGTATACATGCCCTTATCTGTTAATGTAATAGACTACACATTTGTATTTAGTAGCTCTCAGCGTACTGCTTTGTATGTCTTAAAATCTATCTTTAAACAACTACAACAAAATCTTACTTATTTTCTTTCATTATTCTGCTCTGCTTCCATTGATGACTCTAAACTTTTGACTCCAGACTGGCAATATGAGGGTAAGATGGCAAAATGTAACTTCCTGAACATTGCTTGTCTGTTTTTTTGTTTTTATTCTCTTTAGAACATTATTAAAATTCTGTTCACTCTCTTTAATTAGATCCTTTTGTTGCAACTAAATCATATTTGTTTCTGTTGTGAAACTTTAATTACAATGTATCCCTTTTAATCATTCCTTCATGTTCTTTGGGTTAAATTACCATTACATTATTTTTGTCCTGAAGGACTTCTGCTTCACAGTGGTCCCTACTGGTATATTTAGAGAAACATGAATATAGGTTTATGGTGTAGCAAGTGAATTGTATTGTGTTGTGATGTGACAAAGACTTGGTGTGTGTATTCATAACATTAAAAGTAAAAGTGTCATAACAAATAGAAACTATTTCAACAATTCATAATGAGAGCAGGTTGTGAAATTTTCATTTTCATGATGGGCCAGATCCTGAGGTTCTAATTCAATGCTTTCTCAGGAAAACTTCCATTTACTTCAATTAGAATTTGAATAAAGGTTAAATAAAAGCCTTGAGTTTGGGCCCTTTATACCAGTAATTAGCTAACAATTATCCTGGCCTTATCTTGCTTCAGTGACCATTATCTCAGCATGATTGTTTTATAGAATACAATATAGAGACCTTACTGTGGAGTCAGAAATAACTTCTGTTTTCATGTTTATAGACTGCAAGTTGGCCAGGGCAGGTCCTCCAGCCACAATAGTTCCTATTGATGAAGAAAGCCGAAATGGTGAGTGTGCTGCTTTTTTCTAAAAGATAATTATCTGTTTTACTCTTGGATCTATAGTGATCACTGTTAAGAAATCAACACTGGTGGAATATAGCTATTTGCTAATCTGTTCCTTGTTGTTTAATCAAATTTACAAATAAATAACCCGCCAGTTTGTTCTGCTAGATTAAAGAGTTAAATGTAGCAATCCTAAATGCCCATGATCTTCGACTTATTGTGTTAGTACTGATTTTTTTCATTATCAAAATAAATGAGAGAGAATGCTTGATATACCGTATATACTCGTTCATAAGCCAAATTTTTTTTAGTAAAAAAGGGAAGCGCCAGAGAATGGGGTCGGCTTATGAACGGATATAGAGAGGGGGAGGTGGGACACAGCCCCTCCCCCCAACAGAGGGAGCAAGGAGAGGCAGCACAGCCAGCAGAGCCAGAAGGGAAGAGGCGGGGCCAGAGTCTCTCATCTTCTGGCCACGCTGCTCTCCCCACAGCCTCCGAAGCAGCTGCAGCTCTTGGGCTGGCAGGCGGCAGCTGTGCCGCTCGGCCCCGCCCCCCAGAGCAGGCTGTGGATGCGCTGCCCGGCCTGCTGGAGCAGCTCCAGCCAGGCCAGAGACATTCTCCCCTGGCTCTCCCCAGATAAGGTGGGAAGGGATGGGATGGGGAGAGTGTGGGGGTCCTGGGCTAAGGGTGGGGTAATGTGGGGGGTGGTCACAGGGGTTACTCCCCTGACCCCCAGCTTCTCCCACCAAAAAACATTTCCCCACCAGTTGCTGTCCTGGCCCATCAGGGTAAGCAGCTGGCGCACCGGGACACTTTGTTTACTTAGGTTTACCTCCGTGCCTGCGGATGCTCGAGGTAAACAAACCATTTTGGCCTACCAGCGGCTTATCCTGATGGCCCAGGAGCCAAAGTTTGCTGACCCCTGAATTATAGGGTCAGCTTATGAATGGGTCATAAAAAAATTCCATTTTTTTTCTTATCCATCTTGTGGGGGTCAGCTTATAAACCAACTGGCTTATGATCGAGTATATACGGTAATATATAGTACAATAATTCAAAATTCTTTTCAGTTATCAACTTCTTTCCCTCAAGCAAAATAATTGAGGGTTTAATTGACAGTACAAAAACCGTAAGTGGGCCTTCAACTGGATAGGTGTAATTGTGCTCGCTATTCTTTTTATTCTCCAGTATGGTAATTATTTGGATTACACTGTATAGGTCAGTTTCAAAAAATAACAACTTTGACATATAATATGATGAAACAATGAGTATTATATTTTAAAACTGCAGTAAGCAAAGAGGAAGTATGATGAGAGGTAAAATTTTCAAGATGCCTGAGTGACTTAGGAACCACTATTCATTGACTTTGCAAATGGAACTTAGGTTCCTTGGGCACTTGAAAATTTTATCTGAGCTCAGAGTTGTATGCACTTTCTAAACATCTTGGCCAAGATTTTCAAAAGTGAATGGTTATTTTGATTGCTTAAGCTTCTGACTTCTCAGGTTGAGATACCTTACTCTGGCCTGATTTTCAGAGTGTTGAGCACCCAAATTTACTAGTCAGTCTTAAAAATCTCTAGAGCACATTGAGCTGTATTTAAAAACAGAACTGAATGGCATTTGAAAACCATTGAAGCCCTTTTCTCCCTTTAACAATTTTAATGGATGTTCTGAATAATTCTGTGGTGGTTAGGGAAAGAATCCAGTTGTGCTTCCTGTGCAATTTGATAGGAGTAATAGCATTGTTATCTTTTGAGATGCCCACTCCTGAATTCAGTGGAACAATGACAGTGATTTCTAAACATTGCTTTGTTTTCCTCTTCCATGTTGTTTGTTGTATTACCTTATGCATCTGTCAGAACCAATGGTGCTGCATGCTAATGCTCATGAAATTTTGTAAAAGAAAAAAATAGTCTGCCTTCACTTTATTGTTCAAAATCCCTCCTGGCTGAGCCATAGGATTATCCAGCTGTTGACTATTTAATGTCTGTATTCAATTTATGCAACAGAACATGTGAGAAATGCACACTTGAGCAGTAAGTAATAAGAGTTATACTAGGTATACACAGTGTGCGTCACTTGTGGTATCTAAGAAGTTGTTGCTTTCAGCTTTTGGTTTTGCAGATTTGTTAGGCAAAGAGTTGCAGATAGTCGAGGACACTGTGTGATTTATATTTTTTGGTGTATAGGAGAAGAATGTAGTGCAATACAATGCAATACAAAACCAAGGGTACTTACTATTGGACCACCTTTGCTCCGCCTTGCTTGCCTACCTGGAAACTGTTTCTGTGAGCTCACAGCATCGGAGCGAAGTACTGTTTAGAATGGTAGAAACTTATGTGCCTCCAGGACTATGCAAATTCTTCTGCTGGTATAGCTGCCGGTTTAATGTCCTTTTGCACTGAGAAAATGAAGATCTATTACTGCTAATATTCTATGGATTAAAATAGCTCCCATATCCCATACTGCTAATATTTATTGTATATAATGTGAAATGTTGTTAAAGGCTCTATGAGAATGGATTTTAACAGTTGGTTATTTTTCATTATCCATGTGTTAACTTTCTTGGGGTCACATCCACTGAAGCTCTGAAAGACTGATCTGAGGAAAATTGCAGTAGTAATTGTATCTAGATATACAGTAGGAGCAACAGCTGCAATTCTAGCAGCAATTTCTGTGAGTGGAGCCTGGAGACTCAAAGAAATTATAGTATGCCTTTTTTCCTTGCATTTTGAACACCCGCAAAAATAACTAACCAATACAATATTACAGGTCTGTCGCATCTTAGGCGCATTTAACATGTGCGATTTCAGCTTTACGCGGTTGGCAAAAACAAAAACAAAACCCCCAAAAAGAGAAAAATAACAATTTAAATACTGTTTCTGTAGTGCGGGCGATTCCGCCCACCATTACACTCAATGTAATTTTGACTATACGCGATTTTCGCTTTAGGCGGTGACTGCGGAACGTAACCCGGCGTAAGATGAGACAGACCTGTAGTATTTTTTCAGTAGATAGCATTATCATATTTCCATCATTCAAAACAAAACTATAAATTGATTTATTTACTTTTTATTTCATAGTATTTATGCAAAATTAACTTAATGATATATCTTAACATTCTTATGTAGGCAGAAGATTGAAACTGAAATATAGATGTGTACGATCTTCTGTTACACCTAAGAATACTTAAATATTCCGAAGCACATAGTACCTCTTTTAGATTTTGTTCCTTCTACTTATACTAAAAAGCAATAATTTGGTACAATTGTTTTTTTGCTGAGTGGGGTTCAGCTGGGTCTGCTTCCTTGCTGGTAACTCCCCGTCCTTCCCATCTCAGGGCTAGGCAAAGGGGAATCTGGGATGGGTAGGGGGACCTGGGCCCTTCTGCTCTACCAGGTCCTGGCCCAGGGTCCAGCAAGTGTGATAGCACATCTCACCTCCTGCTCACCTTCCTCTGATCCACTTCTGACCGTACCTGCTCCCTCAGTTTGTGGCTTGGTTGTTGTTGGGTTACAGTCCTTTGCTTTGAACTGCAAAGTCTTGGGGCTGATGCAGGTGACCCTCTGGTGCCTTTGCACGTGATTCTCCCTACCTCTTGAGTAATTTCTAAAAGGTTTCTGTGTGTGGGGTAGGGGGGGGAAGAGCCACAGCTGGACCTCTTCAGTAAGAGCTTCTTCTCCTACTGTTGCAGGGCAGCCCTCCTCCAGGAAATGGCTTCTCTCCTCCCTTTCCCACCTTGCCTGGGTTGCTGAAGCTTTCTCTATATTAGTCCTTTCCCCAGGCATCTTCGGCAGGCCTGAGAGGTGGAACCTTCGTGGCCCAGTATTGCTCCAGCCCTTCCCATGCCCTCTGTGTTACTGTGGGGTGTGTAAACCACATCACAGTATCCAATACCTTTTAGTGCCCATATGAATAAGGGTAACAATTCTTACTGTAATAGCAATATACTTGCCATTTTATCTTAAAATTGACATTGTTCAGTAGTTTAATATGCTATGGAAACTGCAAATATGATACTGAATCTTTGATAATGGAAGGCATTTGGACTATATGCAATTTTCTAAGATGCAGAGTTGTACACATACATTTCCAAGGGCAAATTTATACTGTGCATTTCAAATTATTCACCAAGGAAAATCAATGCTCTTATAAGTGCATTGTATTTATGTTACCATACGTTCTTTTAAGATACATTTAATACCTGTTTTTTATTGTATTACTTACTTTTAAAAAAAATTGTTTTTAGCTTGTGAAATGCCAAGTTGTAAAAAAAAAAAAAAAAAAAAAACCACCTTTATAAGCACAGTACTGTTTTGTACACTATATTTCCACATTTATGTAAACATTATAGGGCTTCTGACATGCTAGTAAAACTGCTGAAGTCACATGAACTGCACTGGTGTAAATCTGGTGTGAGAATGCAGTACCTGCAACCTCAAAGGTGTGTGTGGGTATGAGCTTTCCCTGTCTGGGAAGAAAGGGGTCATGGATCCTTTAAGGATTCTCCTCCTGCAAGAGTTGGGAGGGGTGGGCATGACCTAAGCTGGGGGCTGGCTGGAAGGGCTCAGGTGACTCACTGGTTCCCAGCAGACTGAGGTATATATGCCCTGTCTTGCCTGATGGAACCCTCTCTCAGTCCTGGATCAGCAGCTTTCACCCCCGACCCGCACCCCTGGGATTAATTTCTCTCTCTGCCAGCTTAATTAAGACAGAGTGGTTTTTTTTTCCTTTCCCCCAGCAGCTCCAAGACCTGACTTGGTAGGTCAGCAAGTAGCTTTCAAGTTGTCACAACTTAGCATGTATCAGGTATCCAGTACTGGTACTCTTTCTGTAAGGGGTTCAGTTCCCTGACATACTGAAGCTGGAAGTGGACTTAAGGGAAGGCATCCCTTAAAGAAGCTGTGGAAGAGGGTCGGGGCTCCTAACATCTAATACAATAAGGAGCCAACTACCTTTTCCCAGCTCCTTAATTCTCACATGAGGGGCGGGTGTAAGGGTTC